ACTGCAGCTGATCTCAAGTAGGCCAGAGACAGAGCTCCAGCTAAAAAGAGGTTCAAGGTCTTTCCTGGTAGGGTTCCCCCTACTAGTGCTCACCAACCCAGCTCTTTCTCTCTGCTAGTGAAGACTGCCTCTGGTAAGATGGCAGCAGATGGTATCCGTCTGACCAGGCAGGCTGCCAGACCTCATAGCCCTGCACTGTGGAGCATCCTGGGACCCAACAGGCCATCACTGCCTCCATAGCTAGGGCTGCTGGTCCCCTAGTCCTTTCCCTTTCTCTGCTTCCTGGGCACCCAAGACTAAAAGGCACATGAGATTGTTCTTGTTAGAGCCAGAAACATTTTTCCTTCAGGGGATGGGTGGGGAACTAAGGCCTGCAAAATCCTTTGGTCTGGCCCTGCTAAGGCAACTGCAGTTCCAGCTATCACATTGTTAAGTGCTTTTGAGTTGGTTCCGACTCATAGAGACTTGGAACCTGTATAAGGTTTCCGAGGAGTGGCTGGTGAGTTTGAACCACTGACCTTGTGGTTCAAACCTACCTTGCAGTTGGTTCAGTGATTTATCTTACAGTGCCACACCAGAACTCCAGCCATAGGGGTGAGTTATGATTCGGGCTGCTAACCTCAGGGACAGCAGTTCGAAACTACCAGCTGTTCCATGGGAGAAAGATGAGGTTTTTTGCTCCTGTAAAGATTTACAGCCTCAGAACCCTGTACAGGGTCATCATGAGTCAGAACTGGCTCCACCACCACCAATTAAATGTTTGACCAAATATGTTGTTGTTGTTAAGACCGTAGAGTCAGTTCCGACTCATAGTGACCCTGCACAGGCTTTCCAAGGCTCTAAATCTTTATGGGAGCAGACGCCTCATCTTTCTCTCGCGGAACCACTGGTAGTTTCGAACTGCTGACCTTGAGGTTAGCAGCCGGATTCGTAACCACTACGCATAGCAGGCTAATTTTTAAGTTGATAATTTTGTATGGTCTGTGAATGATGGTATAAATTGCCAAATGGCCCTTGGCAGAAGAAAGTTTCCCCAGAGTCCTGGTGTGGTTCTGTGGATTAATGTGCCAGACTGCAAAGCCGTTTGAACTGCAAGGTCGGCAGTTCAAGCTCACCAGCTTCTCCTTAGAAACTCTATACAGGGTCTCTATGGGTCGGAACCAACTCAGTGGCACTGAACAATAACCCCTGCTTTGAGTCCAGGTGTGGTACTCTAGGGTAATGCACTGGACTGTAAATCAGTTTGAATTGTAAGGTTAGTAGTTGAAGAACACCACCAGGAACCCCTGCTTTAGAGCATTTCCTTCCAACGGAAATTAGCTGGGGTTCCCGTGGCTGTTTCTACTTATTAAAGGTGTGTGAGTCAGGGTGTGGCTACCTCCTCCCAGAATGTACTGAAGGAAATCTGGTGACCTGCACCTCACCTGGCCCAGCCTCCTCACTCCAGCTCCCCTTTGTGTGGATTGAGTTTGATTGTTACTCTTCTTTGTGCTTTTAGCTTCTCAAAGGAATTTTCTAACCATTCTCTCATGTGAGTGCCACAGGTTTTTATTTTAAAAGACTTACATGAGTTTCTGGTTCTTTTTCCAGAAGCATTCCACAAGCAATTAATTCAGATTAGCTGATAACCTTGGGAAGGGAGATTCAGTAGTCTAGGTCCCTTGGTCCAGTGATCCCATGTCTTCATTCTCTCCCTGTCACTGTGTCTCCTTCTTTTCACTGTTTATCAGATCTTTTCTAAAAGCTTTATGCTTCACTACTTTGCATTTTCAGAGTTTGTGTTCTAAGTAGTTAATAATCTTTGTCCAACCTTAAAAGATAGTAGAGCTTTCTGTGAGGATCAGAATTTCCCAGGGCTCCCTGAAGTCAGGTTATATAAATGAAGTAACCCCAGATCCTTACAGTGCCGTTGGATTTGACTCAAGACACAGAAAGTGTCATTACATGTAGAGAACACTTAATTTGGGAGCAGGCTCTGCCACCACCCTCTCACTGAGTCCTCCTTACCCCACTGTGAAATGGGGGTGGGTGTCCCTGTTTTACAGGTGAAAAAACAGGTTTAAAAAGGGAGGAAGCTTGCCCAAAGTGACAATACTGCCTCATCAATATTCACTACTTTCTCATCAATATTAACAGTACTGAAACCTAGCTTGTTCTGTTCTCTGACTAATTGCTGAGTCTTAACTCTCCTTTGATGAGCTGTCTCCCTTAGGGCAGAGACCCTATCTTCTCCCACCATCCTTGAAGCCCTGGCACAGAGTGGGCATCTAGCCGATCCTCAGTAGGTCTGGTTGGATTGAAGTGACTGAACAGGTGATGCTTGTATGCTTTAAACTTCCCAGGGATGGCCTATCCATTCCACAAATAAGTTCCTCTGCACTTCCTATGTGCCAAGCAATGTTATAAACCCTAGGGTTATAACAGTGAGTAAAACAAAAAATCCTTGTTCTTATGGAATTTCTTACATCTTAGTAGGAGAGAAAACAAGTGAAATATGTGTGTGTGTGTGTTTAAAAGAAAGAAAAAGGCAGGAACAAGGGATAGGAAGTACTGGGAGGGGTCATAATTTTAGACTAGGGAAGGTCTCACCAAAGAAGGTGGGATCTGTGGAGGTCTACAGAGTTGAGGACAGGAGCCATTCAGCCTCCTGATTTGGGACAAGTCTGCCCATCTCTCTTCAAGGCCTACCTTCATGAGGGTCACCTGGTCCAGAATCACTAACAGAATCATCTGACAGTACTACTTACTGCCAAGATTCCATAATAAACTCATTCACATTTAGGTGATAGCAAGTACTTATGGCATACTCTTAGCAAGAGGAACCAAGTTCAGAAAAGACCCAGGAGGTCCTATTTCAAGAAGGAGTCTGTGGGATGGGCTCTCTCCTCCCTTCCTCTCTCCCCAACAGAAATTGAGTCTCACATTATAAAGCAAGAAGATATTCTTAATGGCAAAGAGAATGAGATTAAGGAGTTGCAACAAGTTATCAGCCATCAGAAACAGATCTTCAGGTGAGGGGCTGGGCCAGGCTAGGGGGTTGTGATGGAAGTTAGGAATCAGATGACCTCTGGTCCCTACTCTGAGCTGTCCCAGCCCACGTCTAGATGACTCCGTTGCAGGAATCACATGTCTGACTTCCGGATCCAGAAGCAGCAAGAGAACTACATGGCCCAGGTACTGGACCAGAAGCATAGGAAGTCCTCGGGGATGCGGCAGGCGCGGAGCCAGCCTCTCAAGGAATAATAAAATGGTCATCAACTTCCTGTTCTCTAGCTGTAGCACCAACCTCTGCCTTCTCTGCTCTCGGAATCCCGAACCCTGCCCTTGCCATTCCTCCCCAGGTCTGAGCAGTGACTGTCTAGGGAAAGGGGACAGGGGAAGAGACAGCAGGCATGCTCCTTCCCTGGCTGCCCTCAGGGATTCACTCCTGGGTCTAGATGCCTAAGTGAGAATCAAGTTACCAAGGATTGGATGGGAGCTTAGACCACCACCTGCCAGATCACTCCTGGGCTCTCAGAAGGGATGGTAGGGGTTTGTAGCCAAGTAGAGGAGGTAATAGGCACTGTCCCTTCTTCCTTTGTATTTAATCCTCCTTATATAAACAGCCCTGGTTACCCCAGTAACACCCCACCCCACTCCCAGTGCCCTGGTAAATTTAACTCTCCCAATTTAGCTATAGGGCAGAAGGGCTGTGAGAGAGAGAGGAAAGAGGATGGCCAGTGGTTTCAAAACTTTCAGGAGCACAATTTAAATCTGTTCTCATCACAAAATAATAATGTTATACTTGTATATCGCGTTTGTAATTTCTTATCTCCTCAATGGAAGCTCACAGATCTCCACAGATGGGAGGAAGGGAAAGGACAATGCTATTACCTGTTTCTAAGGTGGAAGACAGTCTGGGAAGGGACCCTGGCTTGCTGAAGTTGCCCAGGCAGGGCTGAATGCAATGGACAGGCTTACTCCTCTTAGTGTACCCTAGGTAATGTTAGGGACATATCCAGGCAAGGGACTACAACAGGAAGGCTGAGTCAGATTTATCAAGCCCTTCATCATCTGGGTCTGTGTGAGAGTGAGGGCACAGGAGGGACAGGCTTCTAAATTAGTTGGGGCCTGAGTCATCATGGAAGGACCTTGAAGCCAAACATTTAAGGACAAGTGGTGCCCATTGTCATAGGACAAGGACAGGTGGTAGCTGCTTCCCCACCTGGGTTTAGCCCAAGTAGGTCACAAGGTCTTGGGGGCTGGAGTTAGGGTCTTGTGAGTGCTTGGGGAGCACAGCACTGTTACTGTCTCAGAGGGTCTTTCTAAGAGGAGACTATGAGTCAGAATCAACTCAGTAGCACTTAACACAGCTATCCCAAAGGATCCAGGGCTTGTTCTAGGTGCCAGGCTAGCCTACAAAAGCTAGAGCTGTCAACCCTAGCTCTTTCTAAAGGTTCCAATTATGGAGAGGGCCCAATAGGTCCAATCAAAGACCAACTTTCCTGATGTGTGTAGTAGGGGGAGCCCTCCAGTGTCCTGCCTCTATCATGGGTTAGGGGGATGGGTGTACTCTGTGAGCTCTAGCTGGGCTACACAGTAAGAGGAATGCATTGGAGGCTGAGGGGAATATGAAACTACTAGTAAGACGTGAGTCAGTTTGTCTGGCCAGTCGTAGTCGCTCCCCTGATAGCTCTGGCCTGTTTCTCAGCTGTGATGGGTGGGATTGGGCCTAGCTTCTGCTCCAAATTAGACGCCTGCTTCCCGCTTACCTGCCTGTCAGCCAAAAGCTGGTGTCCCACTTCAGGCTCTCTACCCTACGGGAAAAGAACGGTTGGGGGGATGGGAGGGATATGTCTCTCCTGCTACCGCTGCCGGTGACTCAAGAATGGACGCGGCCGCTTTAAGACGCGGTGACCCCCGGGCCTCCGCGGGCGGGGCGGGGACAGTGCAGGCGGCAGTGGCAACCCCAAAGGAGGCGGACAGGAGGGTGGCGGCGCGCAGTAGCGTCCCGCGGGACCATGCTGTCTGCGCTCGCCCCTCTAGCCCTGTCTGGGCTCCCAGGGCGGCTGCCCGCGGCCCCCGCGCGGCGCCAAGACTCCTCGGATTCGTCAGGCACCTACTACACGGCTCCGGGCTCCCCAGAGCCCACGGACGTTGGGCCGGACGCGGAGGGCCGGGCGAATTGGTCCGGGGTGGCCTTAGTGCCGGGGGCGGGCGCGCAGCCTCGCCTGTCCGTCAGCGCCCAGAATAGCCGCCAGCACCACAGACTGGTCTCGGGTTTCCCACCAGGCCTAGGCTCCGGCCCGCGGCCACCCAAGCCTCAGCTGCGCACGCTGCCGTCGGGGGAGATGGAAGTCATATTCAACACCGGGCCCCTATTCAGCGCTTCGGACGTGGCGGATCGCGAGGTGCAACAACTCACTGCGCGGGCTTTCCGCAGCCTCTCGCCACCGGAGCCCGTGACTCGCATCCCCGACCCACCGCCTCCCCAAGCCCCCGACGGTGGCGTCCGCTGGGCTACCTATGTGCAGCTGCGTCCCCGCGGGCCGAGCCCTACCGAACCAGCACAGTTCGAGTGTGTGGAGGTAGCGCTGGAGGAGCGCGCTGCGCCTGCGAGGCCCCGGACGGTGCCCAAGCGTCAGATAGAGCTACGACCTCTGCCCCGAAGCCCCTCGCGGGACACCGACCCGCATCGTCCCAGGCTGCTCCTGCGCACTGGCTCCCTGGACGAGTCGCTGGGTCGCCTGCAGGCCACTGCAGGCCTCGTGCAGACGGCGCTCAGTAGAAAAGTGAGCCCAGCACCCTCTCTCCTAAGTAGGGCCACCTCCGGGCCCACAGGGCGACCAGAGCCCGCGACCCGAGAAACAGCCTGCGGCGCCCGAGTAGTACTGGAGGAGGCCAGATGTCGACCACCTCGTGTACAAGATCGGTCCACCCCCGCCAGGGCCCCGCGGCCGTGGCCCAGCCTCCGCGAGCGCGCGATTCGGCGCGACAAGCCCACTCCTGGCACCGAGCCGCTGGGTCCCGTTAGTTCTAGCATCTTCCTGCAGTCAGAGGAAAAGATCCAGGTGGCGAACCACCCGGAACTCAAAACTCAATTCCCGCGGGAGAACCCGGATTCTACACGGAGTCTGCTCCTCCAGGATAGGGCCCCCTGGGTCGTGAAACCGAGGAGCCCGTCCCCGCTGAGGGAGGCTCCTAATGAGGCCCTGCAGAGTACTCGCTGCCCGCCTTCCCAGTCCCTGTCGCCGTGGGATCGGGCTGTCCTGAAGGTGAGAAGCCCATCGCTTCCCAAAGTTTCTTCCACACGCGAAAATCGGAATGCGGCCGTCGAGGAAACTGGCAGCAGGAGAAGCAGCCCCTCCCCTCCAACTCTTTTCCAGTGGGATCAGGGAGATGCCAGGGCAAGAAGCCCATCCCTCGAAGCTCCTGCCCTGTGGGAGGTTCCGCTTCCGCCAGTCCGGGCTAAGGTAGCAGGAAGCGAGAGCCCTTCCCCGCCGGCTTTGCCCGCGTGGGAGCCTCCAGATCGTCCTATGGAAGGACCATGGGGCCTATCATTTCAAGAGACGTGGGCTCCCACGGCGCAGCGATCATCAGGAGCAACTACGCAAAAAGCTCTGAATGGAGTCGCTCAGGAGGAGCAGATGCCACCTACACCAGGGACTCCGGAACTAACGGAGGCGCCAAGTCAGTCCACCAAGGAGATTCTGGATCTTGCCTTTAGTGGCAGTCAGCTAGAGTTGACTGCATCTGAGCCGCCCTGCAGTCAGCTAGTTAGCGACCTGGACGCAGACAAGCGGCCTGAAGCCGCAGCCTCGTTGGAAGCAGCCTCGGGACGCCCGTGCGTGGCCATTCCACGACCCCGCGACGTGCGCAAGATAGTGAAGACCACCTACGCGCCAAGCTTCCCGGAAACCACTCCAGGTTTAGAGCTGCCTGTGCCTCCTTGTGATCCCCACTTGGAGGAGGAAAGTACGTCCAAAGCGCAGGAGCACCAGGCGCCGTGGCCTCCCGCCCCAGCTCACTACACATCCATCTTTCACAAGGAGTTTCTGCCGGTCGTGTCGCACCCCTACGAACCTCCAGGACCACCTCTCAGTCTCGACACGGTCCCCCGAGACGTCTCGAAGCCCAACGGAGTCCCGCGGCGGAGGGCAGAAAACAACACAGCGAAACCCTTCGCGCGCACGGAGATCCGCCTGCCTGGTGCCCTAGCTTTGAGCCGCCGACCGGAGAGAACCCCAAAAGTCCAAGTGCACGGTCTTGACGGAACCGACCCGGACATCGACGAGGTCCAGCGACTCATCGCCGACGATCGCACCTCTCCCCAGCGGTTGCCTGTAGAGCCAGTGGGTACCTACCTTCCTCAGCCACCCCGTCCTAACTCCCCTCAGGCACACCCCATTTCAAGTCCAGGGCTATCACCCAAATTGGAGACACCCACTGCGGCCCACGAGTCCACGGGTGCCTTTCAGCCACCTCTCCCGCGGGAGACCCTGGTGTCGGCCGGCAGGACAACCCCTGCCCAGCCTCGGGCTGCCTCAGCACCTCCCATGGACAGGCTCCAGGAAGGCCCCTCCCAGGGGGCACGCAGGCTGCCTGGAGCTGCACATCTGGGAAAGATCCTGGTGGATCCTGAGAGCGGCCGCTACTACTATGTAGAGGCGCCGCGGCAGCCTCGACGGCGGCTGCTCTTTGACCCGGAAAGTGGTCAGTACGTGGAGGTTCTGCTGCCACCTTCGCCCACAGGACCACCCCGCCGCGTCTACACCCCGCTGGCCCTGGGGTCCAGCCTCTACCCACCTGCCTATGGGCCCATCTCTGGCCTCTCATTACCGCCATCCCCAGGCTTGCCGGCCCTCAGTAGCCCCCAGATCCCTTGGGCCCCTGAGGCAGGACCACTAGACAGGATGTACTACTTGCCAGTGAGTGGGACTCCCAGTCCGGCACCTCCTCTGCTCTTCTGTGCCCCACCCTCCAGCTCCTGTTCTTCCCAGCAGGGCAAGGACTCTTTGTTCCCTGTGTGAATCCCAAGGGCCTGATCCCCCTTGTGTTAAGAGCCTCCTCTTGGCCTGGCCTTGGAGGCTTTGGCATCCATTCCGGTGCCTACCTTTCCTTCCATCACCTCTATCCTTTACCCTCCCAGCCAGTCTTAGAGAATGCCTGAGACCCAAGGTTGATGGAGCTGGAACTCGGGGAGTGACTGCCTACTTCCTTCCCAACAAGAATTTATATCCCTTTCCCAAGCATTCCCAGTGTGTGTGTGTATGCAAAGTATTCAGTATGTAACGAGGAGTCCCCAGGAGCAGGTCTGGGAGGTGTTGAAGTTTCCCAGGGGGCATCTGAAAATAGGAGTGGAAGGGGGCAGGGTTGCCCCCAGTGGTAGTGAGCTATTTGTCCTTCATCAAAGGTGGGTCCAGCTGAGGTGAATGCCAATAGGCGCTGGTAGGATGGAGGGGAACACTCTGCTATCAAATCTCTTATTTGTTGGAAGATGATCTGAGTTTTGGCCAGAAAAGTTATGAGGAAAGGTGACTAGAACAGCTCTGGCCAGGCTGAGAAAGGGAAGTAGGAGAGGGAAACGTGGTAGGGGTGGGGGGCAAAGCAGCGAAGAACTATAGAAAGGGATTATAGAGGTGCAGTGGACTGGGGATGAGGTGAGTTGAGGTGTCTGTACCCTAGCCTCTTACTTGATTTCTCCTGCAAGCCTTCAAAACTGAGCTGGAGCCAGGGCTGAGGGCTTCAGTTATTTCCACTCAGTCGTTGAGGAAGGAAGGAATGAGTCCCCAGGAAGGACTTAAAGCAGGGAAGATATTAGGCTGTTGACCCCCCTGAGTGGGGTGGAAGGTGGGTTAAGGCTGGCAGTATAAAAGATGGCCCTGTGTGTGGCAGGCCAGAGGGCCCTGGAGTCTCCGTAGTGGGGATTCCCCTGGGTAGGGCAGGCCAGTGGGTCTCAGGCAGAGTTAGAACTCTTGACTGTTTTGCAGTTCCAGGAGCCTCTGGCAAACTGGAGTCTGAGCAAGATGAGGACAGCTCTGCATTGGGTTGGGAGTAGGAAGTAGTCTTCATGAGGGGTTTGTAAGTAGTTCTGAGACTGAAAGGGCTGGGCATTGCTGGCTGCTGTGGAATGTGAGGAGTTTGGGGAGGGATTGTTCCTATTAGAAGTAGTGTCAAGGATGAGGATGCTTACCCTAAGCTCCAGGTCTCTGGGGGTTCGGGGTTCCTTGGAGTCCCTGCCCCCTTGTTCTGGACTAGAAGATGACTGGGAGAACTATGGGTCAGAATGACCTGAAAATGTCCTCTTGGCAGGAGACACTGGTCCCAATTTCATGAAGGGTCCTGTGACACCCCTGGGTCCCTCACCTCATCCTGTGTGTACAATAAAATGCTAGCCATTGAACCATGATGACTGAAACAGCTAGTGTGAAGTGACGAGTTTCCTGCTGCCATCTTTTAACACACCCCCACCCACCCATACACCCCTACACGCACACACACACACACACAATGCCCTTTCATGCCTGGGTATGGCCTGGGTGGAGGGAATTCCTATGGCCCAGGGAAGGAGACCATGTGTGTCTTTCATATACTGTAGTATCCCACCCTTGGTGATCTTGACATCCCAGGGAGGGAGCCTTAGGCTGACAACCACGCCTGTGGTGTCTTTCCTCCTGATGACTGATAGGCTTTGGTGTCAATCAGGCCTAGGTTTCAATTTCAACTCTGCCCTTCTGACTACACAGCTGTAGATTTGTCATTTCTCTGTGAGCCTCATTCAGAGTCCTCTGAGAATAAAGATGACAGTAACCACCTTCTCCCATGAGGTGCTCAGTACAGTGTGTGGCTCATGGACAAATCCCAGGATGTGATTTGTCCTTGCCCAGGCCTCACTGTTCCCTATCTGTAAAATGGATCCAAGATGGCTAGAGCCAGGCTGTCCCGCCAGAGTGGGTGCACACGTGGCATCTTCAGGGCCCTGTGGGGAGGGAGAGAACGGGAGGGTAAGGTGTCAGTTCCTCATTGGGCTGAGCCAGTCATCTGTGGTAGCCCCACCGCCACATGCATAAGCACATCTGCAGCCCAACACAGCCCTCACTTGCTGAGTGGACTCCAGAGATCATGAGGCTGTCACTGCTGTTGCTGCTGGGGGCCTGGGCCATCCCAGGGGGCCTTGGGGAAAGGGCTACATTCACGGCCACTGCGCCACATCTGGACGATGAGGAGAAGTACTCGGCTCATATGCCTACTCACCTGCGCTGTGATGCCTGCAGGGCTGTGGCCTACCAAGTAAGTCCCCCCAATACCCTCCCTGCCCCTGCCAAACCTCCTCAGTTCAGACCCTTCCATCTACCTCAGATGCCACCATTGACCTTTGAGCCCCACACTCCTACCCTTAGGCAGCAAATCTTCCATGGTACTAGCATCCCTACTTCATGCAAACCCTCATGCCTCAGATTACCCATCTGTCTGCTCAACAGAAATATTCTGGGATACCCCAAAGTGTCTTGGGTTCCCAAGGAATCAAATCACTCTCATCGTCTCAGATCTCTCCCTTTCCAAGCCCATCCTCAGGTTTGGCCTCCCTCCCAAACATGACTGGGGTATGTTTGTCTATGTGTGTACACATGTTAAGTGTGTGCATATGAGTACATGTCTGTCTGAGTTCACACATACATGCTTGAGCATACCTGTACTTCTGTGCAGGTGTGTGCACATGGACCTGTGAGTACAACGTCATTGAAGACAACTCTGCTCCCCTGCTTCTTGTTCCCATGGTCTAAAATAGTGTGTGCTAATGGGCAGAGGTTTTAGGACAGGTGTGCCAGGGGTGGGCACAGGGGACCTCGTGTCCAGATTCACCTTCCACTTGAGGGTTCCCAACCCACCATCATCCTAGACAGTGAATCCTAGACAGGCCCAAGGAAGGCCTGCCTCACAGGTGCTTCCTGCCCACACAGCTCCCTTACCACCTCAGGCTCCCCCAAAGACCTCATCCCTGGGTGCAGTCCCAAAGCCCTGGCTCCCAGCCCTTCCTTGTTCCAGATGTGGCAACATTTAGCAGAAGCCGAGGCCAAACTTCATACCCCAGAGTCCGGGGGGCGGCGAGAGCTGAGTGAATCCATGTATACAGATGTGTTGGACCGCAGCTGCTCCCAGAGCTGGCAGGGGTGAGTGCCTCTATCCCCTCCTCCAAGGGCAAGACTGGTGGGTAGAGATCCCCACTCTGCACTCACATCCCAACCCCTCCACAGGGGCTTGGGCTGGAGGTAGGCGCTGGCTGGGGCCAAGCCTGGACTTTAGAGCTGTGAGCAGGTGGATGAGTGGTGTGGCCAGTGCAGGGAACATGGCCTAAGTGACTTGTGTGACCTTGGGGCAGAGGCCTCCCTCTCTGGGGTATAATTTTCTGCTAGGGAGCTTTAGCTCTGGGACCTGAACTCAGCAAATGTCCATGATGCTGTCATCACATGACCAGCTTCATGTGGAGACAGGCCCCTCCCTATCTGGGGCTCCCACAAATGCTACATCCCTGTGCTCCCCACTGCCACCAGCTATGGGGTCCAAGAAGTGAACCAGGTAAAACACCTCACTGGTCCGGGACTCAACAAGGGACCAGAGTCAAGCATCAGTGTGATGGTCACAGGGGGCCCCTGGCCCATCAGGTAATGATGATGGGAGGGGTGAGGGGTGGAACTTGGGTCTGCCCTGGAGGACTGGGCAGTCTGAGCTTCTGTTGGGCTCCCCTAGGCTCTCCCAGACCTGTCTACACTACCTGGGAGAGTTTGGAGAAGACCAGATCTATGAAGCTCACCAACAAGACCGAGAGGCTCTGGAGGCACTGCTGTGTGGGGGCCCACGGGGGCCCTGCTTGGAGGAGGCACCAGTCACAAGGGAAGAGCTCTAGTCTGATTCCTCCTTCCCAGTATCATCAGGCCTGGAAGCTGGGGCCTCCCTCTGGATCATTCCCATTTCTCTCTGCAGGCTGGTGCCAGCCGAGGGAAGGGTGGCCTTGCCCTGCATTGCCACTCTCCCGCCTTCCTCCAGCTTCAAGGCACTGGGGTCTGGGTGGGGGCCAAGGTCTTACCCTCTGGACTCTAATAAAATTCAGTGACCTCAATTCCTTCTCTCTGCAAAGGGTGCTGAGGCCTGAGTGAACAGACACTGGCGTTTCTGCTGATGTTCCTTATTGTTCTTTAGTGCCATCTAGTCGGTTCTGACTCATGTTGTTGTTGCTAAGTGCCTTAGAGTCGATTCTGACCCATAGCGACCCTGCATAGAGTTTCCAAGGAGCAGCTGGGGAGCTTGAAGCACTGACCTTGCAGTTCAAATGACTTTGCAGTCTGATGCATTAGCCCACAGCACCACACCAGGATGCCTTCCAACTCATAGTGTCCCTGTATAGGGTTTCTTTCCAAGGAGTAGCTGGTGTATTTGAGTTACCAACCTTGCAATTAGCAGTCCACTGCTTATTGTACAGCCCCACACCAGGATTCTGATGTTCCTTATGTGATTGGTGATTTTGTGCCATGGAGCTGGTTCCAACTCATAGTAACCTGTATAGGGTTTTCCGAGGCTGTAAATCTTTACGGAAGCAGAAAGCCTCATCTTTCTCCCACAGAGCAGCTCATAGATTGGAACTGCCAGCCTTATGGTTAGCAGCCCAACTGGTAACCCAGTATACTACATATCCCCACAACTTGCCAGTGATGAGAAAGCTCTGCCCTGGTAGGGAATAGGTGAGCTATCAAAGGCACAGGGACTTAGGTCCAGGTACCATGAAACCCCAGGTCTATCATTAGAGCAGACCACCTTGTAGATAAACCTACTGTGGCTACTGCATGCTCTGCTCATTAGGCGATGACCAGGAACTGCTGTGCACTTTTTAGACTGCTGCCTCTGGCCCCAGTGGTATGGTTGGGTCCCTGCTCAGGGCAGGGCAGGACAGGGCAGGGTTCCTGGAACTAGTTGGATTCAATGTCTTGGCTCCAAGTCCGGCTTTCCCTAGTAACTTTTCTGGCCCGGGGCCCTTTCCTTAGGAACAGAACCCTGATCCCTCACCTGGATCTGGGAACCTGGAGTTAAGTCAGGCAGGCTGTAATTTGCAGTTTCACTTGTGTGTGTCTCTCTGTTCTCACTTGAGTCCTGGGAGGTGACCAGAACAGAGACTCTAATCCTCATTTGACAGACATAGAAACTGAAGTTTAGATAACACAAGAGGTTCAGAAAGGCCAACTCCCAGACTTGGGAGTGGCAGGCTGGGAGGAAGGTGTATTCAGATTGGTGGACGGTGGAGAAGGTCAACTGCTGGAGGTCCATACAGGCCCAGACCACTCTAGGGACTGCATTGCAGTCCCAACTTCCATATTATTTCACCTGATTCAGGATCTGCCTGCGGTCCTTCCTCTTCTGGCTCTCACCACGGAGAAAAGCGCTAGGCACCAGAACTGGCTAAGCTGTTGGTGTATGGAGTATTGGAGCCCAGCACCTGTGACTTGGATCTGTATGACCCTATGTTTACAGATATTGATTCAGAGAAACTCTTTGCAACAGAATCTGGGTGTTGGGGGTCCATTTGCATGTCTGTGTACCTGGCTGGGATCATGTTCAACTTGTCCATGTGTTTTGTGTGCTTTGGGTTGAATTGTGTATCCATGAGGTTTTGTGTGTCAGGGGTGGGGCTGTGTCTCCACAGCCCACTAGGGAGCACTAGGAGGAGAGGGTGGGGATAAAAGGCTGAAGAGCTCCTTCAAAGATCCAAACTGGTCAGACAACTTTGAGAACCTGGGAGCAAGAGCCAAGAAGAAAGAGGAGAGGACAGACAAACAGACGAAAGGCTGGAGACCAGACTGGCACTTGGACTCAGGGTTGTGACATGAAGCTGCTGCCCAGCTGGAGAGCGGTGCTGCTTGTGGGCCCTCAGGGCAGGGCACAACAACCCAGAAGTAGGTGGGCCAGCGGGGGTGGGGTTGGGGCAGCAGCACAGAGGGTTGGCCCAGCCCCCACCATCTGAGGAGACTTAAGCACTTCAGTGCCTCTCCATCTCCCCATCGGCCAGCCCTCAGACCACAGAACTAGGCTGGGCTGGGCCTACCAGGAGGTGACAGACCGGGAGTAAGGGCTGGTTTCCTGGGTGTTGACCTATGCCCTGTGCTTAGAAAGTCCCATGCTCCATTTAGTGCTCTGCTGTTGTCATCTTAAAATTCTTAATACATTTTGAACAAGGGGCCCCCACATGATCATTTTGCACTAGGTTCCACAATTTATGAAGTCACTCCTAGAAGGAGGGTGAGGTAGGGAATACGGGTCCTGACACAGGGACAGGGAAGGCCAGGCCTGCTAGGCTGCTGTTTATCCAGCGGCACCTCTGTGCTGTGTGCCTCAGGGACCCTGAGTAGTGGGTGGGGGAAGGCAGAACTTTATCACATGTAGTGTGATGATTTACATCATAGGCTCTGGACATCAGGCCAACCTGGATTTTAGGAATGTTTTCTCAAGAACTTTGCTACCTGTGTGATATTAGTCAACTCACGAGAATCTGTTTACTCGACTGTAAAAAGGGACACTATCAACCAACCATGGGGCTAAGCATGACAGTGAACATACATTGCTCCTCAGTAATGAGAGTGGTCATGATGGTGATGATGATAATGATTAACTTGTCATTAATAAATGGAAAGGGACAGGGTGTGGCACACACTAAATGCATGTTTCCCCTCCCCCTCCTCCCAGTTCTTGGTAAATGTCTCCCCCTACCCACCCACCCAACCACCCGCCTCTCTGGCCCTCTCTTGGCAAACAATAGGCCCCATGTCCAGGGAAGGGAATGCTCAGGAGGGAACTGTAGCAGAGGTTTGGTGGCCTTTACCACTATGGCCAGAGTTAATACGTTACCTCCACCTGGGTTCCCCTTTCGCAATCCAGTGCTGAGGCTCTGGTTACAGATTTACTTTGAACAATGTCTGATGTGTAAAGTCCTCCTTGGCCTTCGTAAAGTTGTTCCTCTTCTCCTCAGGAACAGCTCACAACTGTACCCCAAAGATGAGTGCCCAGGAGGACGCCGAGGGCCAGACACAGGTGCTGGGGAATGGGTAGGAGCTGGGTGGAGGCAGGCCAGGATGGGGGCTGGGAGGCTTGTTCTGGACCTTCTATCTGGGAGGGCAGAGACAGAGTGATGGCACCAGGCTGAATGTAAGACTTGGGGGCTGGGGTAGGAGGAAATAGGGGTCTCAGTGATAACCCAAGGGCCTCTGGGGGGAAGAGGTGATACTTGAGTTAGGTCCAACCTGGAAAGAGCCTTCCAGGGTCTCAAGTCCGCTTGGCCCCTTCTCATGATCACCTTCTCCAGCTATTTGACTGAGGAGTGGGGAGAGGGGGTCCCTAGCTAGAATGCCCAGGTCTCAACTGCTCCAGGAGCCTGCACAGTGAACTCATCCCTGTGTGAAACAGTGTGAGGAGAAGCCAGTGAAGCCAAACGGAATGACAGCTGGGTGGACTGTTGGGAGTGTGCAGGACCCCACTCTGAGGAGCTGATTGACTGGTTCTGGGGCAGGATGGATTTTGTCTGTCTTCCATGACTCCACCCTGACCTACTTCTCTCTGCTGCCTTCAGCATGAGACCCCGGGCTCAGCAGCCACCAGGGACCCCCCAGTGTCCCTGCCCACAGAGCCCAAGTTTGACATGTTGTACAAGATCGAGGATGTGCCGCCTTGGTACCTGTGCATCCTGCTGGGCTTCCAGGTGGGCTTCACCCCAAGCTCTCTTCTCTCCCTACCCTCACTGTGGGCTCTCTCTGATCCTGACCAGCTGGGTTGTATCGGGTAACAGGAAGAGAAATCTAAGGTCAACACAGTGGCTGTCACCAAGCAGGGCTGGAGTGAAAGAGGATTAATCCCCTGGAGCATGTGTCACCTGCCAGTTGGCGTGTCCGTGGCAGGGAGGAGTGCCCACTCCACAAAAGCTGTGGGAATGACTTGGGGAGTTTGTAAACCCCAGGGAGATTAGTGATAACTCTGGGAATTGCCAGTGGGGAGTGTCAGACTTATGCAGACCACTGAGGCAGATGAGGACCATTAGGGTACCCCTGCTTCCCTTGAGCTCTGTAGTCCATGTCTCACGCAGTCCCCCTGCCTCCCAGCATTACCTGACATGTTTCAGTGGCACCATCGCTGTGCCCTTCCTCCTGGCTGAGGCGCTATGTGTGGGCCGCGACCAGCATATGGTTAGCCAGCTCATCGGCACCATCTTCACATGTGTGGGCATCACTACCCTCATCCAGACCACACTGGGCATCCGGTAAGCTGCCGTGCCCCCACCCCACACACAGACACACAGCAGACCACATATTAGGTCGGGGGTGGGGGTGGGAGCTGAGTACTGGGATGGAACAAAAAAAGCTGCTATCCACCCCCACCTGTTGTTCTGACCCCATGCCAGTTCGAGCCCCTTGGCATAGAGGACCTACTCTGGTGTTTCCCATGGACTTAGTCTGTGGGAGACATACCCTAGCTGGGTTCTCACCTTCCTGTTCTGTACTGTTTACTCAGGACCCTGGACTTCTTGGCCCAACTGGCTCTGAGCCCACTTCCAGGACCTGAGTGGTGGTGGTGGGGGAACAAGGGAAGGTTGCATGAACTGAGTTGTTCACATCTATGTGCCTGGCCCCCTCACAAGGGAGGGGGCAGGTTATGAGTCAAGGACCTCCATTTGTTCTCTTCCTTGAGCCCCAAACTTAGGAACAGTCCTGTCTAGGAGCTCAATGACTTCCCCCTATCCCACCCTTGGCCTTCTGTGTCTGTCCCTGTATGTGGGATTCTTCTCTGTCTCTGTATACCCCATTCCCACATCTCCTCCCAGGCTGCCGCTGTTCCAGGCCAGTGCCTTTGCCTTTCTGATCCCAGCCAAAG